TTTCGGTTATCGTGAGGAGTAAATGAGTGGAGTACTGGCTTAAAGGATTTTACCTGGTTTCTTCATTCAGTTGCTGTTTAAATGTCCTTACTGCTTTGATATAGAACTGCTTAGTGCTTTTTACGAGATTTCTTTCCGTCAGTCATTATTTATTGCTATTACTCACTGAGTCGGAGTACTCACTTTACTCCCTGCACCATGCGTGCAGATACAGGTATTCCGGAGGCGTAGATTGAGCTATTGCTGCTATTCAGATCTCACCGGAGTCATCGAGGTAGCTGCTTGGCGTTCGCAGACCCGATTTCTCCCTCTATCCTCTTTACTTTCAGCATTTTAGACTATCTTTTGTTAGGCTGTTTTCCCAGACTTGTATTAGAGGCTCTTGACTCGTGACACCAGATCGGTGGGCTTTGTAGTGATATTTCTTGATTTCCGCACATTTTATCTACCGTTACAGAATTATAATTATGTTAATTTGGTATTTAAATCCTGTTAATTGGTAATGAACTTTAAATGAGGGATTGAGAATGTTGAGTTGGTCGGGCTTGCCTAGCACTGTGTTGGGCGCCATCACGACCGGGGTTGGGGTCGTGACACACGTATAAAGGACCATCCTTGGGAGAAGTCTGAGTACCCCGTCAGCTGCTATTGCTTTGGCTTTTGGCCTTTCAGGGAGTTTCTTGTCCATCCTTGTTATTTTCGCTTTATTTGTGCATTGGGACACTGCACTCTTTCAAGTGTGAGGTGGAGGATTCTCTGTACTTTGTATAGTATTATATTAGTATATTGTTATTTTTTTTTTTATCGTTTTATTGTTAGCTAGCTTTTTTTTTAATGCATAGTTAGTAGAATTAATGGTGTAGTATAGTTGTAGTTTTAGTAGCTTAATTTTAAAAAAAAAGTTTAAAAAATAGATAAATCTTTTTATTTTATTATATTTTTTGAAAAATTTAGACTTTTCCGACGATGGATCTCCAAGACAGTTTTTTTGGGGATTAAAGTCTAACAAAAAATAAACAAAAAAACTAGAAAATAGAAAAAGTTCAAAAGTACGTCTTTTAGCTTTCTTTAGGTAGTAATAATCCCCTATGGTTTTTCTTTGTACCTCGGTTCTTTTCCATGGGATGTAGTTTGAACCGGGTAGCTTTTTTCCTTTTAGAGTAGATTAGGAATTTAGGGAATAAAAGGAGGAAGAATGATAAACCTAGATGCCCTTGACTTGTTTGATAGTAGCATATTTAGGCTTTGGCATGTGTAGTATCTTCACTATGATTTGAAATTATTGTTGATGTCTTGCTTAGTTGGATAGCATATTTTGTGACGCCTATTTCTCGTTTTCCTGACCATTGTTCACTTTGTGCTAAATGCTTGATATCTTGCGGCTACGTGAATACTTGCATTGTTTGAGAGTCGGAATGGGACCGTCCTTAGTGAGTCATGTGCCATGTGTGGTGAGATTTTTATGTAGTCCATGTATTGTACTTGTGTCTAGAACTTGCCCCGTATATGAGTTGAAGCGAAATTTTAGGTGATGCTCGGTTTGAAAAATGATTTTAGGGCTTCTTTGATCTTTTTGAGCTTAGTGCTTATCATAAAAAAAAAAAAAAATCCCTAGTAAACCCTTTTTAGCCTATAAACTTTTATTTGGCACCCACATTACAAGCCTATACCCTTTTTGTTCTTAATTGATATTGTTTTGATCCTTGTACCTCTTAAAGCACTTTAATTGTAAAATGAGCTCTAAAAGAAGTAAGAAGGACTAAATGCGGGGCGGATTTCGAGTGGAACCAATGAAAGGAAGAAAGGTGCACTTGTTTTGTAAAAGAATATGCCACTAGTAGAAAGTGCAAAAGTGAAAAAAATAGTTGAAAAAAATGGAAAAAAAAATATAGATGAATAAATATCTTCTTTTTGCTAGTGGAGTGTAAATGACGATAGTGCTTAAAGAAAGAGGGAACATTGCTTGGGGTGATTTTAATTGTGAAATTAAAGTGTATTGAAGAATTTGCGCTTAAAACTTATTTTGTGATGTGTTAAAGTGCTTAGGAGGGTGGGCCACTACTCTTAAATATATCCTACTCGTCCCTTAGCCCACATTACAACCATGAAAAAAATTCTAATTGATTTTAGATTGAGTGAGCCTATATTTGTAGAGATTTACATTAAGGGCAAGCCTATGGTACCAATTGCATGCATGTGACTTCTTTGTGAGAGTGAGAGATTTCTTTTTATATACAAGTGAGTCCTTAAACTGTATTTGATCATGAGATTCGAATGTGTGGATTCAACTTACTCTCTTTGCTATTGTTGTGAAGGCACATGGTTCACGAGGGATAAGTAACATTATTAAACTTCTCTAGGATGTTGGGTGTTCAAGCCATGAGTGCATTGGACATTGAGTCGGGTTTTGAGGCTAGGATTGTTGTGAGCATATTATCTTTGTTTGAATATTTTTGAAGAATAGCATAAGCAAAGGGAAGAGTATGTGATTGCATATGCTAGAGTTTAATTGTTGCTATCAACCATGGTCATTGGTGTAGAGTGCTCAAAGATATAGTTATTTGTTGGTTGGCTCGAGGACGAGCAACGTTTAAGTGTGGGGTGTTGATGTTTGGCTTAATGTATGCATATTTTGATGTATATTGTCTCACATTGTGCTCATGTCTCGTAGATTTCGGATGTATAATATAATGATTTGTGCTCATTTGTGGTATTTCTATGTGTAGGAATCATTCGGATGCAATTTGGGACGAAATGATGGAAATTGGAGCGAAATTGAGAAGAAAAAGCAAAAAGTGAAATTTGAGGGCCACAGCCAGGCGCTGGCTGTGGCAAATTTACAGTAGCAGAAATTTTAGAGCGCCAGGGCCAGCGCCCCACGCTGCCCTGGATGCTCAAGACAGGAAAGTGGCCTTTTTCGACTAGGACTCGGTTATTTTGACCCCAAGACGCCCCCAACTCATATAAAAACCAACCTAAACCTATTTTGATGGGGGGACGTTTATTAGAGGAAAACACAAGCACAGCGCCGCCGTGGGGGCCGGAATTCATCAAGTTCTATCTTTCTTCCAAAAAACTTAGTAATTTTTATGTTTCTTTGTATGATTTGTTGTTTGGATACCATGTCTATGTGGAGCTAAACTTCATGTTCTTGGGTTGTGGTTCTTTTATGACTATTGTTATTCGGATATTGATTTTGATTTCTTAGTTTATCATATTGGTTTATTTATTTAATCCTACACTTAATTATTTGTTGCTTGATCACCAATTGAATATTATCTACGAATCTTGAATTGAACTCGAAAGTGGAAATTCTAGATTGCATATAGGATTGAGTAGAGCAAGTTTTTGAACCTGGGCATCGGAGAACGGATTCGCGGTTAGGATAGACATATACCTAATTGCCTTGCTTGGTTGATTTACAGGAATTATAAATGCGTTTTTGTTAGTTCTAATTCCTTAGAGATATAGGAGTTAGGTTAGCTTGAATAGGTGAATAAGAACTCGACAGATTCTTATAAGCGATATTAACCCTGTTAACCAATAAACTAGATAAATTAGTTAGTCAATTCAATTGAAGAATACAATAGGAATGTTAGATAGCCCATAACCCTAGTTCGTTTTCATTACATTGATATCATAAAAATCTGCTCTTCCTCTGTTCAAAGTTCATTATTTATATTTCTTTATTTAATTAGTTTAGAATCAAATATTTCTAGGTTTAATTCTTATTTAGACAATTAGGATAGTCTAATTTAGTTAATAGTTAATCACAAGTCCTCGTGGGTTCGACATCCGACTTTTAGTCACTTTATTATTTGACGACCGCATATACTTATCTGTGCATTTGGCCGCAACATATGTACCGTAAATACAACCTAAATTACCCTTGGTTTCAAGTTAATTAGCACATTGCACACGGACTTGTACGTGATTAGTACCTTATAACTAGTTAAACTATAGCATAAAAGATTTTATTTTGACAATATATATATATTCTAGTTATTTTTATAACATAAAAAATTTATTTTACTTAAACCTTAGTTTTTGCCAAAATTTCACGGTATAGCCAGTTTTCGGACTGGTCAATCAAAAATAGCCAGTGTTTGCCAAGTCAATGAAAAATAGCCACCGTTTTACTGCAATAGAGACCGGTCCAGCATAATATACCGGAGTTTCGGTGCACTTGTGTATGAACTCCAGCATATTATGCTGGACCGGTATACTTTGCTGGCTCCAATATAATATACTGGAGACTGGAGCACTGGTGCTCCAAACTCCTGTATATTATACTGGACCATTATACTTGCTGGAACTCCAGTATATTATACTGGAGTTCTAGTGTATTTATGCTGGAACTCCATCATATTATGCTAGAGTTCCAGCATATATCCTGGAACTCCAGTATAATATGCTGGAGTTCAAGTATACTTATGCTGGAACTCCAGCATAATATACTGGAGTATTTTCTGGGTTTTGAACAGTGTTTTCGCTCAGATTTATCTTTACATAAAAAGTGGCTAAATTTCGATTACTTTTGAAATTGGGCTATTTTTGAACGACCAGTTGTAAATCTGGCTATTTTTAAAAATCACCCTTAGTTTTTGTATATAAAAAAAAGTCCTCACTCTCTTGAACTTGATGAATGGAATTATATTACTTTCTTAAGCATTTTCATCTTTCTTTTTCGAAAGCTCTTCTTAGTGACTATTTTCTTTTATCTTCATCTATACAAGCAACTTTTAACTTCAAAAGCTCCAACAGTACTGAAAATGTAAGAGGATCAAGAAAATAAAACATGTAGATATTAAAATAAAACTTTTATTAAAACAATATAGGTCTTCGACAACTTGCGCGCACCTGGACTAATTCAGCGAGTACTAGCTACTTCTTAGTTTTCACAAGCATATACACTCAATATATAACTCTGTTCATCAAAACTTAGACTGATAGCAGAGAATCATCTAACATTGCCTTTGGTGGAATTTGAACACTCATCAAAAGATTATGTGGTCGCGACATAATTATTTAATGTTAATTGGCAGCCAACATAAGAAAATTATACAACTTAATTAAATAAACTTAACATAAGATAAAAATATAAATATAATTCAAGCTTAATAGTGTAATACATAAGCATCATACTGAACTGTAGCATCCTTAGTTTTCAAATCCACTGACTTAGTCCTTGCCTGAACATATCCTCTAGCAAATCGGAAAAGCCCACTGCCACCAATCACCGGCATCTCTCTCACCGTCTCGAACGCCGAGTTCCGGCCGAGCACGGCTAACGTGCTACCATTATATTTCCCTTCAATAAACACAAAATTCATGACCATTAATATACTTAATTCACTTTGTGAAGCTGAACCATACAACCCTTGTGCTCTTCCAACAATTTTGGAACTCAATTTTGGTCCTAGGGTTAGGGCATTATCCATCATGTTTATTAGGCCGAAGCCTGTAAGGATGGTGGTTGTGGGTGGTGGTACGATCATAATAGAGGTTGGTTTCGAGCCACTTAAGATGTCATGCCAATAGAATCTGAAATGACTGAGTTTTTCTCTTTTTAGACTGTTGGACTTTCTATTTATAGATTTTTCGAACACGTATTCATTATCTTCTCCAATGGCCAAAAAAACTACGAGAAAAAGAAGAATGGAGATAGTGAAGAACTGAAGAAGTCTAGGCATGGAAGTAGATTTTTTGGGTTACTTGGTAGTTATGAATAATTAAACATGCATGAAGTTTTCTAGGTTATGAACTTTCTATTTATAGATGAGGGGCAGCCGCCGGCCGGTGCACTAAGCTCCCATTATGCGCGGGGTCCGGGGAAGGATCGGACCGCAAGGATCGTCTATTACACGCAACCTCACCCTACATTTCTGCAAGAAGCTGTAAGCACGGCTCGAACCCATGAACTCTTGGTCACACGGCAGCAATTTTACCGGTCAAAGCCAAAAATAATTCTGATGAACTACTAAAAGGCTGTTTGGTCTTTTTTGTTTCTAATTATTAATTATTATTTTTGGCTAAAGTTTAAAAAATTTACCACTATACTTCCAACTACTACACACAAAAAGAAAAAGGACAAAAAATAGAGACTAAAATGGGAACAAAAAATAGTGGGAATATCTAGCACTTTTGATCCCTTAATTATTTGTAAAATATTTGATATTAGTCCTTGCGATATTTCATCAAATATATTTTACTTTGAATTAATTGATTGTGTGTTGTGGTCTATTTACATAGAAAATATATCACATTTAGATTATTATTGATATTTATGCTACCGCTCAGCTATGGAGTAATAATAATATTTAACATAATATATGATTAATTAACTAATGATTAACAATTAATAGTTCGTTAAACTTGTGAGAATACACAAGCAAAATAGTTCAAAAATCCACATTTCAATTAAGTGAATGTTAAATGTGTTTAACAAATTATTACAAGGACCAAAACAAGAATTTATAATATTTCAGGGATTAAAAGAACAAATTTCTTTAGTAGAGTAGTAATTCAAATTAAAGCAATCTGCTATCATAAATCATTATGTTTCACTCCACTAGTCTTATTATTTGAAAAATGTCTGTCAGACGCTAGAATTCTCAATAACTATAATGATTTCCTTCCCCCACTTTGATTATCTGGATTAATTAATTTATACTAGTATAATTAGAAAGAATTTTTCCTTGAATATTTTACATTACTATGAAATAAATGAGGCTAGCTTTCTTTTTGAATTTCTAGTTGTTGTTATGGTGGTTGTTGATTTGAAAGTAAAGGGCACAACTAAGGGCCCGTTTGGCCATAAAAAAAATTCCTTTTTTTCGAAAATTTTTTCACATTTTTTTCGAAATCAGTGTTTGGCCATGAATTTTCGATTTTCACTTGAAGATGAATTTCGGAATTTTTCGAAAATTTGAAAAACTCCACAAAGCTATTTTTTAAAATTTCACTTCAGATCACTCACAAAAATTCGAAAACAACCCAAAATTATATTCATGTTCAAACACAATTCTAGTTATCAAATACCATTTTTACTTAAAATATTTTGTTCACTTGTTTCGAAATTTTACAATTCTTATATCCAAATGCCCACTAAGAAACTTGACAAGATCAAAATTAGAAAGTCATAACCCAACTCACATCTCCTAGTAATGTTGGACAAACTGCATGGAATTTTCTTTGTAAAAGACCTAGTTCACAGAGTGCTGATCAGTTGGTCTCATGTACTATGGGCCTTTTTAAATGTCCAGGCCCAACTGAAATAAGAGGCCAAAATTCTGGGAGAAATTCAAAAATAGCCAGATTTATAAGTGGTCACTCAAAAATAGCCATAGTTTCAAAAGTAATCGAAATTTAGTCACTTTTCATGTAAAGATAAATCTAAACGAAAACACTGTTCAAAATCCGGAAAATACTCCAGCATAATATACTGGAATTCCAGTATAATATACCGGTCCAGCATAATATACTAGAAGTTCATACACAGGTGCACCGATCTCCAGTATATTATGCTAGAACTTTTCGTGTTGCAGCAAAATAGTGGCTATTTTTCAATGACTTTACAAACATGGCTATTTTTGAATGACCAGTCCGAAAACTGACTAGCCCGTACGATTTTTACAAAATTTCTCCAGTTTTTCGTTAGAATTCATAAGATGGATTATGATCCATTTATCTTTGCACGGTCCTAACTTGTTGATGGATTAAAGTGTAAAACAAGGGATTTTGGGGCATAAAGTTTACGGGTTATTTAGTTGGAGTATTTGCACAAATAACCTTCTTGAGGCCACTATTTAAATTCTGTCATCGATAGCCAAGTGGGCGAAATTTGTCTGCAAAGTGAAAAAATCATCCAACTACTTCTAAGAAGTGAAATTTAGCCCCCCACTAAACTAATCGGGACATAATTTAAAAAGTTACCACAAAAATGGCTATACAATAAGGCGGAGCTAGAATTTCAAGCTTATGAATTCAGTATTCTAATCATTTTAAGTTACCGGGTTCTAAATTATTCAATTATAAATAATTAATAAATTGTTCTAGACAAATATAGAGTTTGAACCAAAGCTACTGGATTCGCCGAATTCGTAGCCAAAACACTGGCTCCGCCTCTGGCTATACAGTGCAAATAATCAAAGGGATCTTGATAAACCAAGATCCACCCATTATCTTTTCCCTTTTTCCCAAGATAATTTAAATACTAACAAGTTATTTAAAGGAAATAAAACTAAACTTAAACTTTAAAAAATTAAATATTATGATGCAAGTAATAACCTTTTTAACAAGTGTTATTTTTATAGGTGAGAATTTTAAGAAGATGGGATGGTTAGACAAGGAATATTAGACATAAAAAATTAGCTATATGTTAAAAGTATAATTAGGCTAGAAAAGGTATAAAGCAAATGGTAGTTCAAGTTAGTGCAAATTCAAGAGGATATTTCACTAAAGTAGTTGTTAACAACTTTTAATTAGTGCTATATTTCCAGAGAACAGTTGAGGTTAGTAGAAAGTTCTTTCATTTTTAAAGTTAAGCTGATGAATATGCTGGTGAATATATTTTAATCAGCATTGATTGACATCATTGTAATATCACACCTTAAAAAAAAAAAATGACCGTCCGGTGCACTAGGCTCTCGTTATGCGCGGGGTCCGAGGAAGGGCCAGACCACAAGGGTCTATTGTACGCAACCTTACCCTGCATTTCTGCAAGAGGCTGTTTCCACGGCTCAAACCCATGACCTCCTGATCACATGGCAGCATAGAAAATAGAGAAATGTGTATTTTTAGCCGCACACAAAAATAATAGCCAATAAAATGTATGTTTTTGTATATATGTGTACTATATACATATAATATACGTATTTTATATTTTTTGGCTAGCCAATGCAATTATATTACTTTCTTTTTTTCCTCTCAAAATTCCGGTTTTGAAACCCACTAACACAACTAATTAATCTAGATTCATGCTACATAGAGCTCACTGAAAGATGAAGCACTTTCGAGACTCAAACTCGAGACCTATGCTTAAAAATGAAGATCTCACATCCATCTTGCGACACTCCTTCGGTTGTGTATATACATGTCGGCATTTGTGTTTGTGTGTGTTTGTGCCTAAATAAGAGGTGGTACCAGGATTTCAAGCTTATGGGTTCAGGATTCTAATTGTTTTAAGTTACTGGGTTCTAAATTAATAATTTATACATATTCAATAGATTTTTTAAGACAAACATAGGATTTGAACCGAAGCTACTGGGTTCGATCGGCCTAAACCGCTAGCAGCACTCTAGCTCCGCCCCTGACCTAAATATACATGCAGATATACATACAAGCAAGAGATCATTAAATGTCCTAAGCTGGTTTAGGGTGGATTGTGGAAACGTCTAAAGCACTTAATAGATGTCCTAAGCTGGTTTAGGTTGGAAATGTTGAATTTTGTTTTATTTTTTTTTTAAATATTGAAATACTTTCTACACTAGGACCCTAGGTTGATCTTAATTTGTTTAAAACAATATATAATTAACTTAAAAATATTTCATTGCATGTCTTAAATAAAGAATCTGTATCTTTTGTTTGAGATTCTTGATAACATGATCCAGTCGATATTAAAATTCTATGATTACATAGTATGGAAATGGACATATATTTATATAATGTGAAAATATATATTCTTAGACCAAAAAGAAAAAACAAAAAAAGAAACGTATGTTCTTAACCATTCGTCCAACTAATATTTAAGAGATGCTTATCCAGTATTTATTTTATTTATAAATAAAGCAACTGGTACCAAACTTGGCTCTCAAGGTATCAATTTTTATTAATAAATAACAGAAACGCTGAACATAAGGTTTAAAGTTGGAAAACTTATTTTGTACATCAGCAGCTGACAGGGTAATTGTGTTATAATTAATTGTGTTATGATCATATAATTTCTCTCTATCATGATTGTATTGTCACGAATGAAGTCGATGACACGTATTGTCCGCTTTGGCACAATAGATGATTTTTGTCTCTGGGCTATATTATTATCGAGTCCAAAAGCGTGTGTACCATGTGAACTTATATTATGCATTATAAAACTCTTCACTTTAGTCTCTCGATGTGAGATTCACCTAAGGTGACATTTGCATCCCTTCTTCAGAATCTTGTCAGCCTAGAAGCCTTTCGTTCCTGCTTGATCTGCCCTCGTCGTCCTGGTGGCCCGCCCTCCGTTATGGACGTCACATCTATATCATCAAGTGGTAATTGTATTATTATGTTGCCACAAAAATGACATTTTAATTATCATAAAATTACTATTGCAATTATAGAATAATAATACCTTAACTCCACCATGCATAGACTTAAGGTTAGCATCAAAATGTTATTTTAGAAAAATGTGATGTTATATTAACACTCAAAAACACATCTAGATAAAAAGTAATCACCTTTGAGCACATCAATCTTGATTTACATTGTCACTTAGGGGTGGACATAGTTTGGCAAACTCGAAATCCAAACTAAACTATGTATTTTTTAGATTTTTGGTTTGGATTTTCGGATTTCGGATTTAATTTTTATTTTTTTTGGATTTCGAATTGGAAATTGGATTTGGTACTTCAGATTTTTTGATATCCGAAAATCCGAAATTTTATACTTTATATTTAGTCCATAATCCATATGCCAATATCAATAAGTCCAATACCCTATCCATTAGATATTATCTCATATATTCGGTACTAATTACT